TCTCTCTCTCTCTCTTTCTCTCTCTCTATCTCTCTCTCTCTATCTCTCTCTCTCTCTCATATAAAGCTCAAGTGCATTCATTTACAAAGACTTCGACATCAAATGACTTTTCGGCAATTGCTGAAAGCAGGTCTCTTTTATCAGGAGTTCATTCATTAGATGAAGAACTGTTAAAGTAGGTTCACTTGTTTTGATTTAATTACCCATTTAGTGACGTTTTTGTCTTTTTTAGATTTTGTACCGAAGAAGGGGCCCGGCATAGTGAGTCCCCCTCCACGGAGATAAAGAGTTAAATGTTCAGTGGATATTTTTCGAGTGCCTTTTTATGACTTTTGGTATGAAGTGAATAAAAGTTTCTAGGGTTTCTTCACATATGTATCACTGCAAGTTTAGGTTATAGAGGGACTTTATTTTCAGTTCTTGTTGAGTCAGAAATTTCAGTAATTTGTATGTTTATTTTTTTCTACATTTACTATGGTGCTGGAAAGAATTACCTTTCTTATTCTTTTTCTTTTTTTCTTTTTCATCCTCTATTGTCGTTGCTTGTTCAAACTTTCAACACCGTCAGGTTTTGTACAAAATAGTGTCTTGCAAGGTATATTTTCTTTTGTTTTGTGAGATTTCGTAACATCAAAAATTAAATGTCTCCCTCTTTACAGCTCAACTATGCCATCCCAGCTGTACTCTGCTTACTCATCTTTGTGGCTTTTGACAAGGAAACGTATGTGTCCGATAAAAACTTGCCTTGCCTTGTGGCCCTCCTGTTCCTGTACGGGTAAGACCAAAGTCTAATGATTTTGCATGTTATATTTGTTTAAGATTCTGTAACATCCAGACTTGTACCCTTCTGCTTGATGCTTTGTTATCGCAAACAATAAAAATACAAATGATCAGCGCAGTTTCACAAGCGTCTGAGCCATTTTTTGAAGTGTTGAGAAAATTAAAGATAAAGAGAGCAACCTAACCAGAATCATGACTTGGGCAATCGTTATTTTTTAATTAAAAACCAGGAACAAAATATTGAAACAGAAGAAAGTTTTAATTGTAATATTCCCCTTGATGTCTTTTTTCAAATAATGGATTTTTCTAGAAACCCCCAGAGGGTTGAGCGATTATGGAGGAGGATATCATGAGGTGGTTTTCTGATAAAAAACGACTTGTGTCTGACTATAAAGGATGGCTGAACAGTTTGTAGTCACTTGTTAAGGGGTATCAGGATTGTGGTGGATGAGTGCCATTGATGCATGTTGTTGCTTTTTGATTTGTTAAGATTTTTTGAGGCAATTAGTAGTGTTGGAAGAAAGTCATGTGGTCTATATCATGGGGCAATTTCTGGTTAACTATTATGATGGTATTTGCATTATGGGCTGAAAGCTAGATGTTGTGATTAATACATGTGGAGTTGTAAAATCTCTGGAGACAAGGGGTGCCTTCGTAGTTTGGATACTTGTGAACATAGTGCTTTCCTGTACTAACTACATTTTTCTGATCATGATATAAATCGCTTTGATAGCACTGAATTCCAGTCGCAAAAAATGGGAGTAAGTACAAAATTAAATGGAGATTTCACGGAACATGGATATCAGTCATTATAATTTTGAGCTCAAATTGGAGATTTTCTTCAACAGCCTTGACAGCTGTTACAAAAGCACCTGAAAGGTGGAAACATTGAAGTTGAAGATAGCTCTCAGCTCGCAATGTGTTGATTGGGTTGTCGGGTCTCTATAAACAAGTTGTGCCTTTGAAACTTGACTACTTGAATAATAGGCACACTCCACCCATAAAGTCTCTCATTCAATGTCTACAAGTACCATATCCTGGAACCTCACTTTAGCAAACAGACAAAATCTTGTGAGGGAGTAATATTTATACACCATCACTAGGCAAGCAACCTCCACGATACAGGTTACTGATCAGGGCTAAAAAAGTTAATTAAGGGTTTAATGGCTACTTGTTCATATCTGAGGTGATCCATCAAAATGGAAAAATATTTGCTGTGGGTTGGTGTGGAGCAGAATGGGCTCTGCGAAGACATACCACACTGAAGACAATAAAAGAAAATGTAGGTTCAGTTAGCAATCGGGACACAACACATGAAAATCTGGTAACTTGAATGAAAAGATGCAAAAGGAAATTTTTGGACATAAACTGACTTCAGAACTGACCAAGACATTCTAGTAAGGCCCAGTTCAAGGAAAAAGATGGAGAGGCAGACTGTACAGATATAAGAATTGAAAGGCTACAGTTGACTGGTCTTGATCTGTACACACCAACGACTGTTTCTCTTTTTATTCCTGTACCTGAGTAACAATCAACTACTCTTGCAGAAACTTCCCCCTGTGTGTAACTGAATATGTGCACCAATTTTACTATGAATTGTTTAATGTGACTTTCCTTTACTTTATTGCTCTGACTTTATCGTCTCTATTTGCTTTCTGTCTGTCCCCTCTTTCTTCCTAACTCTGACTAGACCGAGTGTTTTTCTTTCCAAATTGCCAATATAGTTGAGTGCCTGACTCATATAACATAATTTTGACATCTCGGCAGATGGGCCATGATCCCAATGATGTACCCGTTCTCTCATCTGTTCTCTGTGCCGAGCTCTGCCTTTGTGCTACTGTCCTGCATGAATGTCTTCCTGGGAAGCATCTCCACACTAGCTACTTTTGTCCTGGACACTATGGCCTCCTCGGTGAGTACACCAACACCTGCACCAGCTGAGACACAATCCCATTGTGAACCTACTTATTTATATGATTGTAACGTCTGGCCCAATTAAAATATGCAGGTATGCAAACATCTTAATTTATTTCCACTTTCGTTTGTGTTTCTAGTCTCTCTCTCTCTCTCTCTCTCTCTCTCTCTCTCTCTCTCTCTCTCTCTCTCTCTCTCTCTCTCTCTCTCTCTCTCTCTCTCTCTCTCTTTCTCTCTTTCTCTCTCTCTCTCTCTCTCTCTCTCTGAAATTTATTACTTTTTCCACATACTCCACATCCACAGAGTTTGCAAGAGACCAACGCGGTGCTGAAGAAAATTTTCCTAGTCTTCCCTCACTATTGTTTGGGCCGGGGTCTAATGGACATGGCATACTATCAGCTGCAGTCAAATGTTATCTCAAGATATGGTGAGTAAACTGATTGTTCCTCAGTGAATGTTTTGTTATTTAGGTCATGACTTTGATTCTTCTTATTATAACTAACTGCCAAAAACTGAAATTTGTTAATTTTCAACATAATTGAAACTTTTACTGTCTGGTGGCTTTTCAGCTCAGAGAAATTTTGCATTTGAACCAGAGAGATGCAAAGTCTAGCCATTTAAAGACTTATGATGTTGAATTGATTGTCCAATGGAGATAACTGCTACGTTCCCCTAACTTTTTTCATTTAATACAGTAAATGTTTCATCAATAAAGGGAACAAAGAGATTTAATTTGTGTAGCAGTTGATGGCACTCCAAATGGAGTACCCAATAATGCATATATACTCATAAGTTATACATTTTCAGTTTAAACAGACTTCATTTAAGAAGAAAACTAAAATTTTCTATCCTTATAACCTATCAACCATCTTCTTCTGAACAGGTGAAACACTGGAATACAGCTTGTTTGAGTGGAACATCGCAGGAAGAAATATTTTCGCTCTAGTCCTGCTAGGTTTTGTGTTCAACTTTATCAACTTGGCTATAGAGTACAGAGGACAAATAAAAGCCTTGTGAGTATTTCTCCTTTTTGTTGTAAGGAGTTTTTTTATTCGACTTTTTCAAAAAAGTACATTTGTGTATTTAATTTAGCTTGTTTCCCCTTGTAATCTTATTTTTAAGAATGCAAATTAGGCAGAATGTATAAGTAAGGTGGTGGGTGGTTGGCGGGTGCTCTAGTGTGGTCTGCTCCTTCTTTCCTATCAAACATCTATTATCCTTATCTCTCCTTTTTTGTGTTTGTTACTCTCTTGTACCAGCTGCAGTCTTCAGCCCTTATATGATATTATTGTGTTGCAATTGCTGTAAAACACTTACTAAAACAAGTAAGGTGATGAGATCATGTTGATTCCATCTCAAATTGATCACTGGGGCTTTTTTACCTTAACATTCACAAAATCTATGTAAAGAATACCATTGAAAGGTATGAGACTTTACAGCATTTTTTTTTCAAATAGAAATATAATAGGTATGATCAGTGCTGACTAACATTGTCTGTTTAAATTCCTTTCTCAGTTCATTTGTTAAAATCTCACTTTGAACTGGAGGAATGCACAACTATGAAAGAAATATGCACATTAGCTCAGAACCTAGTCCTAGCTTTGATACTTTTATAGCAGAATATGAATTGTTTGTCAAGTGTCTGGAACATTTGTTTAGGGATACCTTTTAAATAGAGTTTTATTGTGTGATTTGATTCAACTTTATCTAGCAGGTTTCTTTGCAAATTTTTTTTCGGCTTTTAGTGACATATAATGTAACAGCATTCTACTTCTTTTAATGTATCCCAACCTTCAATTTTGGCTATTGAAAATGCTTTTTGGTGTGTTAGTCTGAAGCAAAACTTGCAGTATATGACGAGTTTCTGTGTGGTAAAAATGTTGTAGTGCACTACAAGCTGATGTGTTATAATGTTAAAAAGAAACATGCGGCAAAAGTATATATTATTGCCCTGTAAACTACATCAATTTTATACATCTGTCTTGCAGAGTGAAACGTAAACCAATCCTTAAAAGAGGGCGTCAACACCTGGACATTGACGTGATGCGGGAGAAGGAGAGAGTTGTGTCAGGGGCTGCAGCCTCAGACATGCTCCGACTACAGGGACTGACAAAGGTAAGACTTAAACTCTGCCTGCCTCAGGTGGGTTGCACTTAGTACATTATATATTGTAATCCTGTATTGAAGGCCAGGGACAGACAAGTTTTGTGCTGACTGCTCTCTGACTTATACCTGTCCAATTAGGGAGGGAGTAAGTTAGTATTTATAATAAGGTAACCTCATGTATATATAGTGACAAATATTTCGGTTCACTTTTATTACCACGATGCTGGGATATTGTATCCCTCTCTGCCAGAGTTGGTGCAGTGTCAAAGCAGCACTCCTCCTTAATGATAAAATATTTGTGTCAATGGGTATGAAAAAGATTTACGGTTGCATTTACAATCATTGCAACTTGAAAAATTTAAGTGGTAGTTATTGTAGTGTCCCTTTTAATGAACAAGTCACGTGGTTCTATTGTATCCGTCTCAGCCAACCTGCTATTTCCAAAGTATTGTCTCAGTCCCCTCAAAAACGTACAGCACTGCTTCCTTTTAGCCACTCAATTGCTGCCATACTGTCTTTTTTCTGAAGCATTGTTACTGATTTCTTTTTTCTACAAATTAATAGTGTATCATATCTATACCCTTTTTAAAGAAAATGAAAGCTGAATATACTGGGTGTCTTTTTTTTTTTTTAAAGGAGGACCCATTTAAACAACAATAACTTGGTTATCTTACCACCAGTTTCCACAAAACTTTGAACAAGCAAAATTCATCCAAGGGAACATGAAATTTTTTTTTTTTAACACCAGGCATTTGTCTGATCTTCAGAAGGAAAGCTCACAGAACATTCACATTTTTGTCATTAGTTATCTCATTTAGACAGGAAAAAAGACAGTTCAGGCATTAGTTACCTTAAGGTTTGGCTCCTGGAGCCATAATCTTAGGGTTGCATTTCAAATCTCAGCCTAGGCTGAATGTTGTATCATTAGGAAAGACTTTTTTCACAAATATTTCTCAATTCAACCAATTGAGAGTGTCTGCTCAGCTTAGAAAGTTAAAGGCTTTGTCAGCATGTTATTATTTGAGAGCTTATACATGTAGATTGAAAAATCCCATTGTATGAATGTTTCCCATGAAGCTGAAAATGCGTAATAATAGTGAAATGCACCAAGTCAATTTCGAGCAGGGGTATTTGCAATAAGTGCAATTTATTATGATGGTGATCTTCTTCTTCTCCTCCCCCTCCCCCTCCTCCTCCTCCTCTTCCTCCTCCTCTTCCTTCTCTTCCTCCTCCTCCTCCTCCTCCTCCTCCTCCTCCTCCTCCTCCTCCTCCTCCTCCTCCTCCTCCTCCTCCTTACTGATAATGGTTTTCTAAATAAACAGTTGATTTGTGAGTCGAATGCCATGTTAAACACATCAGCGACAGATGACATATGTCAGTCAACCAGGAACTTATTGAACAAATACAAGTAAACTAGCTCATAACCTTATCGCATTTTATTCAATTTTTCCCAGATGTACAGCAGTCCTGGCAAGAAAGTGAGCCTGACTGCAGTTGATCGGTTGTACATTGGAGTACCCAAGGGTCAGTGCTTTGGGCTTCTCGGAGTGAATGGGGCAGGCAAGACGACAGTGTTCAAGATGCTGACGGGGGACATCAGTGTCAGTGAAGGCGATGCTTTCATTGACCAGCATAGGTACTTTTTATATAAGGATGGGGACGGGGCAATGTAGTTGTGGAGATTTGAGAAGTTGAAACTGATACAGAAAAAGTTATATTGTCAATTCTCGGGGTGAAAAAGTTCCAAGACACTCCAGTAAAAGCATATTAATTCTGAAACATTCAGTTTTGTTTGTCTGAATTTTTTTCTCATGTTTTGAATGTTTAAAGAGAATCTCTGCTGAATCAACTGTAAATTTAAAATCTGCCTTTGAGGAATGCTTTTGTGATTGTCCATTTCTGACCAGGGTATTTTATGTGATAAGCACTTGTTCCATTTGTTTTGCGTAATGTACGTTAATGACTCTAGGTCAAGGTAGATATATTTGTTTATTAAATTTACTGTTAGAGAGAGAAGAAGGAGATACACAAAGAAAAGATGAGAGAGAAAGAGTAAGGAGATTTAAAAACTTAATCAAAAGGAGCCAGCAAACAAAGCAAATTTTGTATTGAGAAATGAAGAAAACTTTGTTGTCATCATTATGAAAACAGACATTCCTTTCCCGATTTTACATGAATTTCATTTATTCTCTACCAGCATTAAGAAGGATCTGAGAGAAGCTCAAAAAGTGATCGGCTACTGCCCCCAATTTGATGCCCTCGACCCACTGCTCACTGGACAGGAACATCTACAGTTTTACGCCAGGATCAAAGGCATTGCCACTGCTCATGTAAACCAGGTTAGCACTGACCTTTTCTAATTTTTTATTCTTTTTTCTCATGCTCACCCTTGTCAGAGCTAAAAATTCGAAAGTTAACCAGATAGTTTGAAGTTTTGTATTTATCCTGACCGAAAACTCTTATGATTCCACAATATCTCCCTTAGCTTGCCATTTCATTAAAATTTTGCATCTTTTTTTTTCCAAGAAGAGAGGGTACTGAATTTAAATCTCTTAAGGACTTAATTTAAAAATATTGCTTTTTTTGTTCATAGCAGTATTGCAATTGTATTTAATATGTCCCCGTACACTGACAGTAGAGTGGGCTGTCGTGGTCGAGAGGTTATGGTGTTCGCCTCTCATTCAATAGGTCCCGAGTTCAAATGTGGACAACGATGGAAAAATTTTTTCTCTAAAATTTTCTTTTTTCACCCCCTTTCCTGCTATCTAAACATGTTGTGTCGTCTGTTTTCGTCTCCACTTTCTGCCCCCACCCCTCACCTCCTTTGCCCCCTCCTGTAGGCTCTAAACTCTTTCTGAAGCCTTTCTACTGCTACTTCCTAGCCCCTTCTTACCGCTGTCTTTCAGCCAAACCTCTGATTTTATGGTAGGTAAGATCTAACACCTAGCCTTCTCGGGTAAGGGCGAAAAATCTCTGAGGTCCTGTGTTCAAGTTACACACGTAAAGATCCCTTGGTGGTCCAAAATTGATAAGAGTAGGCTTCGGCAGCCACCCGGGCAAAAGTCCAAATTTCCTACTAACTCAAAGTGTTTAATGTGTCCCATGCACTCATATGACCTTATGCAGTTGCGAACACAGTAAAACACTTCCAAAAAACAAAACAAATGACAGTAGGTACTCTGATAGGGGAAAAAAAGGAAGAAATTTTCTGACAAGAACATTGTCTAACTCCTCCAGGTGTCAAGCTGGGCTACTAAGAGACTGGGTCTGTCCCGGTATGCAGACAGAGTATCCGGCAGTTACAGCGGAGGAAACAAACGCAAACTGGCCACAGCCATTGCCCTTATCGGAAAGCCGTCAGTCATCTTTTTGGTATGTCACTTCTTGTGTTCTTATTTTTGCTCTGTTCTCAGTGTTGTTTTAGTGGCACCTTTTGATCTAAAAGAATCCACTTAAACCAAAACCTGCAGGACCATTGGATTTTCTTCGGCTTAGTCGTGGTTTGGTTTACAGAGATTTTTCAAATAGTGAAAAAAAAAAAGGAATTCTATTTTCTTTCTGTTTACTGCTCTTTTTGGACTAAGCGTGTTCTAATGTAATAACATTTATCGATTTTTGTGGTTATTTAAGTTTAAGACTGTTACACATTATCTCTTTGATAATCCACCCCTGAGTGCTATATAATTTCAGTTTTTTCCACTATCTTCTTGTCGATGCATTTTTCAATTTTTTTAGTTTTAAACTTTTTTTATCTCCTCCCTTTCTCTCCACCTCTGGCTACCCTATATTCTTGCAATTTATTACCACCAAAACCAGACAATGAAGTACTCTGACTTTGACCAAAATTTCACAAGATTTGCTCGGTTTGTTCCAAGACATCCTTTTTGAGATAATTGCTGGGCAGGATTTTAAAAAAATAAAAGTTAAATACAGGTAATTGTCAATTGTTTTGTTTGAAATAGTCAAACACATGAATGGTGGGAGAGTGCCCTTGTTAGGTCCTATTTGTTTACCTCTCCTCAACAATTTTTGTCTGATTTTCTTTCTTTCATGTTGGTATTAGATGCCCATTCTTTTTTTTTTGCGATTTGATGTACTGGTTCACCTTACCTAAAAAAAGAAAACTGTTGGTAGCGGCACAAATGCTGATGTTGGGTAAATATTCCAAATGGATATTTGGCAGATATTCTTAATGACTCATACTTCTCTCCCATCCTTCTCAGACTTTCATTATTTATTCCTGTCTTATTTGATGGGTTTTTTCCCCCTCATCTGCTTATAAATTTTTCATCTCAGACAAAACTGTCTTCTTACTTGTATGATTTAAATATATGACTTCTGAACTTGTATGCAATCGAACCTACTCTAATGGTCACCTGTCCAAGACAGTCATCTGTACAAACAACCGCTTCCCATCACCCCCTGCCTTTGCATTTTAAAAAATAATAATAATACTGAAATGACTACTTGTCTAAGACTACCACTTTTCTCTTTGATAACAGCAGGCTATATCGTACAATTTCAACTGAATATCTGGTTTTCTTTTCATGCCGCTAGGATGAGCCCACCACAGGCATGGACCCGAAGGCACGCAGGTTCTTGTGGAACTGCATAAACAACATTGTCAAGTCAGGATGTTCAGTCATCCTCACCTCTCACAGGTCAGTGTCACCTGCTATAGTATACCACAGATACTTAGGAATTGCAAATAAGACTGATGTTTTTGTTTTGTAATAATGCAAATAAGACAGTAGTTTTTTAAAATAATGCAAATAAGACTGTAGTTTTAAACAACGATGATGATGATTAACTGTATCATGTCAGGTGCTGGTATTTTTTTTTTTTTTTTTAAATTCTGTACAAGTTTGCTCATTGATTTACCTTTTCCATTTTTATTCTTTTTCCACTTTGAGGCAGAATGATGTGCAAGTTTCTTGATTGACAAGGTAGCTGGTAATGCTGATGGAATAAATGCAACGTTACAATGTTGTAGTTGTTGTTACAATCAATCCATCAGCTCGTGGTCTTCCAAGCTTTGGCCCAACACCTTTCAATCTTATTTATAGATCTGTCATCACTGTGAACTTGTGTAAGGTCAGTTCCTGTAAAGAGGAGGCACAGCTAATGTTTTATCGATATAGCCCAGAATGTTGTCAATGTTAAGCTTTCAGGAGCATCAAGGTGCAAGGTATGGCAAAAGATATCATTTTAATATGGGTGCAAAACAAATTTATCCTGCTAATACCCATGGGGATAAGAAAATGCTTGACTAGTGTTTTAAGATATGGTTAGGAAAGGGATTTTTCTTATCCTCTACTGTTTGATTTTCTTTTAAGATTATCCTTTGTTTTCCCAGCATGGAAGAGTGTGAAGCCCTCTGCTCCAGACTGGCTATTATGGTAAATGGATCATTCCAGTGTCTGGGCAGTACACAGCACCTGAAAAATAGGTGAGCTCTCGTGGATGTGTACCAAAGAGTCTACATAACAAGAGGGTCATCTCCTCTCTTTGAGCCAATTAAAAAAGTGTCCTCAAAATTGGGTGGCGCCCTCTTCGCAAATGCACACCCTTTGCGAACAGAGTTACCCTACTTGTTTAAAAAAATCAAAGTGAAAGTAACAAGTTTTTGAACAAATAAGAATTCAAATTTCGGAAGAACGTCTTTTTAAAATGGTTACGCTGACAAAAAACCTTTTCCGGAGGAAGGGGTGACTGTTTTCTGCGTTGAATTTAACTTTAGAATGAAAGGCGAGATGTCATTAAAATAAAAAAACAACTAATCTTTGTGTGTACATGACAAGATGACAATGAACTGTTCCTGGCATAAAAACCACACAGGTTTTTGTGATGTGCTGGTTAGGCTCTTTCTCTGGCACTCTAGGGACTAGGGTTTTATTCCCACATGGGATAGATTTTCTGGCCACCGCATAATATTATGTGCTTTCTGTTAAATCCTTATCTCTGGCAAGCCATTCCCAGAAGCTTGCGGTTGGAATCGCTGTGCTGGTGAGCCGTGAGGAGCCGTGCAGGCATATTATTACAACTTCACTGTGAAATTGCTTTTCGCCAGTTGCCTAAAAACAACTCTATTTTACCAGGAGTTCATTCAGTTAATGAAGAACCATCAAAATAGGTTCTCCTGTTTTGATTTAATGACCAATTTAGTAACGTATATGTCACTTTTAGATTTTGTATCAAAAGAGGGCCCTGACATAGTGGGAGATAAAGAGTTAAGATGTATATTCCACACAGTGTAGGTTGACTCTGAGAGGCAGGGTTGAAACAAAATGCATGCCAAATGATATATACTATGTCTATGGGGACATAAAACTTCTCTGTATAAGATATTTTGACTACATGCCATTGGTGTCAAAAGAAGTTTCCTAAATAAATATTTGCCTTGGTTAAAAGTATGTATGGAGTATGTATTGTGCATTTTCTGATCAATAAATATCTTGAATGATTTGAGGACTCTGAAAAGCATTGTTTAGAGATTTTGGAAATAAGATATTCATCTTTTGTTTTGCATACTAGTGAAAAGTCATTTTACTTTAAAAACAGAGTGGCCGATTTTCTTTTACAAAAAATAAAAAGTAATTTTGCCCAGTGTGTTTTACACACATATTAAAAGTGTTATGTTCGTATATGAACTTTTTATTGAGGCTACTCTTTTACTGTCAATGGTGCAGGTTTGGCAGTGGTTACACAATCACATTACGTGTGGGTGGAGAGACACCAAATTTGGCACCTGCCATGGGTTTTGTCACCGCTGCACTCCCAACTGCAGCTCTGAAAGAGAAGCACCACAACATGCTACAGGTTGGTCATGAAGCCAAAAATATATTTATGTTTTTAGATTTTTTTTTAAACCCTGGAAGCGTGCAATCTTTCACCAGAAATGATCTGCCCCAAATGCCCAGCCGCCATGGCGGATTGGTTGTAAACATGGGGGTTTGGCCAGGGCTATCAGCTGAGATATCAGAGATTTATACCTGCTACTGAAAAATGACCACTTACGGCTCAAATCAACAGATGATAAAAGACATATAAAACCCTATCTTTTCTCAAAGCTGATAGAATTAACTATTCAAAAATAATAAGCGATCAAACAATTATAAACAAAGCGCAAAATGTGATGAAGTCAACAATTAGTAAATTAGGACAGCGGAACAAGTAATAACACATAGCGTGTAGTCGTTCAGCTGGATCACGTCACTTTATCAATCGATATCTTAGTTTTAGTAGAGGGTTTACGACGCTCGCAACTGCAAAAGGTCATATGAGTGCCATAAGATTAGAGGTATTACAAGAGGTATTACAAACATAAAAAAGAAGAAAGGGAGATGAGGACGATAGCTGTTTGATAGGAAAGAAGGAGCAAACCACACCAGAGCACCCGCCAACCACCCACGATCGATATCTGAGCCAACATACGTGCTACAAAGTCAAAATGACTTGCAAACTCATTGGTCACTATTTATAACTTTGACCTGCAAGTTACTACATCATTTACTATATAAGGAACACTGAAATTTTCCATTAAAAAAGGTCAGGGTCTACGCCCTTTATATAGGGCCTGCGCGCTTCCCGGTCAGATTAGGTTGGCCCTTTATGCAGAGTCGTCGTACTTCCCAGGTAGCCGGGCTCACGCCTTATTTAGGGCCATCGAGCTTCCAGGGTTAATTTTAAAGTTATAGATTGCCAGAATTTTTGCTACATTTCTTTTGACATTATGAAAGGGTCTAGATTAATGCTGGTAATTGTGTAGATTCCTGTATAAGAATTTATGGATTTCTCAAGAAGAAGCAAGTGTTCTTAAAATCTATTTAAAGATGTGATATATGAAGATAAATAAACTGCTGATTAAATAGTGTTGTCTTACTGAACCTCATTCTCAAACTTACTTACACTGTTGCAGTATCACCTGAGCCTGTCTGGTGTGGCACTGAGTCAGCTGTTTCACACCATGGAGGAGGCAAAGTACCGTGGGCTGCTAGAGGATTTCAGTGTGTCTCAAACCACTCTGGATCAGGTACTTATTAAACAATAAGTTTAGAAAATGAAAACAGCCCTTATTTTTCATATCTGTGAAGCGTGCTGACAAAATGATTTACTTTTCGATATCCACAAATGGAGATACTAGCCAAAAATCGACACTAGGGTCAAATTTGTTGGTTTTCTATTGATGCCATATCTTCAAGTATAACATGCCTTTTATTATTTCGTACTTCTCAATTGTAAAAACTTCACCTATAAGTGTGATGTACAGTGGAATCCACTTATAACGAGTCCTGAAATAACGAGAAGTCTGTTATAAAGACACTATTCTAAAACCCCGTTTTTTTCCCTTCTTTATCTTTGTAAATAAAATACTGCTATTGCGCAATCAGACAAACAAGCGAGTCGGTTATTGCGTAATATTGCTGCTGCTGTGCACAGCGCATAGGCCATTTATTCATGCAAAACCTTGCCAGTAAAGAAACTTTGTTGTTGATCTTGCAAAACAAAGAATGGGAGAGCCCACGTGTGCCAACGATGAAGGTCGGAGAGAATGAGTGGGGAGGATGTGGTATGCTCAGACGAGCAGAACGCATCACGTGATAAGCCAGCCTAGTCTAGACTATCTAGGCCTACCACGCCTCTCACTTCTCCGATGCGGGGATGGAGAGATCACAACGATGTGACTGTGATGGGATGGATTGAGTGAATGTGTGACTTGCGCAAGCAGACGGAACGCACCACAAGGTGTGGTGGGGTGGGGGGACAACACAGTGGACGAGTTAGCCTGGAGAACTTTCTTTCTGATCACCAACGCCAAGCTGTCAACATTACTAGCGCTAGAGAAAGAAACCTTATTCGATTTTTGATCAAGTAGGGCCAAGAGATCATGTTCAACCAAATTATCATCAGAGGAGATTACAAAAAGAAACAAACAGAAAATCAGACTCATAAATTCGGCCTACTGTACTATTTCCCTTGAATTTATTATTGGATCCCTTATAATGAGAATCCTGCTATAATGGATGTTTAGCACTGGTCCCCTCCCTCTAGTTATAACAGGATTCCACTGCATCTATTTCCATAGGGCTCAAATCTAAGAAGTAACTTATTTTATCTGCATACTTCTCATTTTGTAATATAATATACCAAAAGCTAACCTTTTCAATGATGTGATGCAGTAGTTACTTCTCTGATATTGGTAATGCTCTCTATTGCACAATCAAATGGATTGGTGTTGTCATTTTTTTAGGTTTTCATCAACTTTGCCAAATCGCAAGCCGACCTGCTGGACTATGAATCTCAAAACACTCCCAGCAATGGTGCTAGCCAAGCCACTGTTGTGTCTGATGACATGACTGCCAGTGGCACAAGTGCTGTAGGAGTGGACCTCAGCAAAGTTTTCCATACAAGTGAGTACATTGATATGTGTATGTGTGCGTGCATGCGCGCGCGCGCGTGTGTGTGTGTGTGTGTGTGTGTGTGTGTTTTTGTGTGTGTGTTTTGATACTACTTTCTTATGTTTGCAGTGCTCTGTGTTTGGCCTCCCATATTGTGGAAACCATGGCCAATACTGGTACTGGTAGCAAGTTAATTTTCAGCAAAATCTCATGAATGCATTTCACAACAAGCAGCTGATGAGAGAAAACACTGATTTTTTTGTTAGTGTATTTGTAGATATGATACATTACATGCATAATCTGAATTGTTGCTGTTGCTGATAGTACTGTTGTTGTTTTGTTGTTGTGAAGTTGTCAGCCTTTGAATTGGTGTTTTGATCCATACTGCAGAAGGTAGGATTTCCATTTGGCAAATAGCAGAGTTTGGTGTTTTTTTCTTCTTTTCTTATCTTACTTTGTTGCTTTATGGAGTTTTCCTTGTATGAGGCTGGATAAAGAAACTGATATGGGATGATTGGCCAGAGAAAATATCTGATGGATGATGTACACAACATTTTCTTGTTCATTAAATTTAGTGAGTTGTTTTCTTTTTGAAGCTTTAGTTGTCATTGTGAAAGATCAAATTGTCCTTTCTATTTTTCACAAAATCTTGTTTCCTTTCCAAATACTCTTTCTTATTTTACAAAAATGAATGCCCTGTTTTTTAGTTTAATTTTTTTTTTTTTTTTAAAATGCAAAATTGAATCTCTACTAGTTCTTCAACTGAGAGTAAGTTTTTGTGCGACTTCTATGTTGCAGATTCAACGCCAAGTGAGGAGAGAGGACGTACAGACTCTTTCAATCCTTCCTGTGGTACCATAGAACTAGTGCAGCCCCATAGTGACGCTGAGAGTGGGCTGAGCACAGAGGTCAGAGGCCACCGTTTAGGCTGGACAACATTCACCAATGAAGCTTTTGCCTGATTCCTCGGCCATTTGTGTTCATTTACTCCGTAAGCTTTGGGTATCCCTCTGAAAATTAGAGGGACTTTGGTTTAGCACTGGCTTTTAGACAAGTTTTACTGCTACATTGGTGGTTTGGGGTTTGAAGGGGAGGTGGGGGCTAGGAAAGGGTGAATGGAAAAGGGGAGGGAGAAGGACAGGGGGAGTCGAGGGGCAAAAAAAAAAGCAATCAGTAAACCTGGTCAGCAAGAAATAAAAACCAATACCATGTTGCTCTGGGCCTTGGGACTGATAAGTCTTTGAAGTCTGTCCAGGAACCAGAAATCCAGAAATGTTAATTGGAGCTCAAAGCAGTGTACTTTGTAGCTGTGTTGATGTATCTCAATTTTCTTGCTTTCAGTAAGGATGCGTGATATTTTTTGCTGTGAATGAACATGTATGCCACTGTATGGGCATGTAGGCCTATATCTAAAGTGATTTTTAATTAAATATATTCTTAAGAAAATGTGGTTATGATGTGTAATTAACTTCAATTTGCTAAAGGTTTCTCCACTTGTTACACATAATTAATATTCCACATACATTCCATTGAAGGTGCGCAATGTCTAGACTTGTGTTGAAGATACACACCAGTACGTTAGTGTGAATCAACAAACGCATAAAACTTTGAATTTTGAAATAGGGTTATGAAATTTGTTTGTTCTGTGGAAAGTGCTTAGTTATTAGTTCATATTCTGTGAATGTGTTTGTGTATGTATGTGTGTGTGAGTGTGTGCATATGTGTGTGTTTATAGTGTGTATGTGTGTGTTTGTATGTAGTATGTGTGTGTGTTGGTGTGCAAGTTTATGGGAAAATTTTTGTGTTTGTGCGCACGCGCGTGTGTGTGTGCGCACTTATGGGTGTGAGTGTGTGTACTGTTTACTTAGAGAACGATTCCTTCTGTTCACTTTGAGAACTATTCCGTCCATACAGACTGTTACTGGTCTCTTCTTTTTCTTTAGACAGTTTATACATTGTTGGTAGAATGTGATTTACTGTAACAGCTGTGTGATACAATGTTTTTTGTATTCTCTAAATTGCCATATTGTTTGTTATTTATTACTTTTCAAAATAATTCATTTAGATAGAAGTGAAATGGGATGGAGAGAAAAACCATGGAGATAATTTTAATTGTCATCCTTTGTTATTGCATTTTTTTTAAGGGATGGTATATCTGGGTTTGTATTCAAAGAATTGTAGCTGTTGAAACTACTTTATTCTTTATTGAGGACACTTGAGAGTGAGATATATGTAGTGTTAACTTTCATTGTAAGTGAAATCTTACAATACATGATTTCTATGAAGAAGATTGGATACAATAAGTATGAAGATGTGTAACATATTAATTGACTGATTTGCTGTACTGGTTTTCATGACCTGTAAACAAAATTTTGTTGTTAGTATTTTATCATTTTTTTAGAAAGCCGTGTTTTTTGTTTTTAATCCAAATGAGATTAGCAGAGGTCTCTTGAAAACTTCTTATCAACTGCATAATTTGCTTCTTTGTTTTGTGAAAAAGATTCTGTATGGATGAATAAGAAAAAAAAAATAATGATCCAATATGAAATACGAATGTAATATTGTAGGCCTACCAGTTGTGATCTTCTTTCTGTCAAGGGTCATGCTGCGGTACCCTTTGAGTTATTTAAAGTGCATTTTTTAAGTTTTCTTTTTTGCATATAGTTTGTTCATTTTACATTCAAGGTTTTTTGCCTGTCCTTATCCGGAATTGATTCCACTTATAATATATGCACAGAGCTTTTATTGTGTGCCACAGTATGAATTGGTGCTCACCAATACTCACTTCAATATGTGTTGGGCTCATTGAAAGAAAATGCCAAATATTCTGTGCTCTTGACATTAACTGAGCATTGGGGGGGGGTAAAAAATAAATAAATAATTTCAGTAAAGAATAAAAATGTTCTTTTATGATTATTTAGCACCAGGAGGTAATGGCATTACAACTGCATATATCAGATCAAAAGCTGTGAATATTAATTTTTCTGTGTATGTGAAATGAATTTCTGTATTATTTAAAATATAATCTTAGTTCGATATAGGTTTGAACTAAACTCACAGTAAGACTGGCCTTATTAGTGCCACTGCTCCTAACATTTTGAACCTTAGTTCTTCTGGGATTGATCTGTCTCTTTCCATTGAATACCAGGTCCCTTCTCTGATTCTCAATGGCTATTCTTCATTGGTGTCTTTTGTACAAATGCTATCTGATGATTTCTTAGATTCAAGGTTGTCAAAATGGTCAACATTCCCTATGGAGCTTTTAACTTTGTGCGTATTGCTCTGCTTGTTATATTTACTTTGTTTTATTATGTCTAACAAAGTTGCTATTGCACATCTAAGATATTTGTGTTCATCCACTTCATTTCTTACTCTTATTTCTCATATGACTGCCTCTCTCTTTACTCACTATGGGTAAAGGCTGAATAGAGAAACTACATTATTTATGACTAATCACTGCATTTTCTACTATCATGATATGAGTATGAGTGTACTTGATGACTGACACATTTTGTTTATGAATTTTTCTTTTACTGATATTATGTGGACTTGAGTTTTGTCTGAGTTTTGCATATATACTATACACACACACACATACACACATGTGCTCTCTCTCTCTCTCTCTCACACACACACACACACACACACAAATACAGGCACACACACACACAAATACAGACACATACACACATGAATATTATATACCATAAGCAGTATACAGTCTAGCATGCCTAACGAGCATACCCTTAACAAAACGGGCACAAAGCAAACAGATTTTCAGGTTCCTAATTTTTTTTTAACACATTCTTTGTATTAAAAAAACACACATGGCAAAATTTGTATACGGTGAAAAGATTTCCATGTCCCGCCAGTTTCACTATGTGTGCATTAGACTTACACTGTACATGATCATTTAAAGAGAATTATCCAAGTTTATTTTGCAACAGTTTAACATAGAAAGCAATAGAAGACTCCAGCTAAGTCACATAGACTGTACATGATCATTAAAAGAGAATTATCCAAGTTTATTTTGCAACAGTTTAACATAGAAAGCAATAGAAGACTCAAGCTAAGTCACAAGTATTCTACTCACAATTTCAATTAACTTTTATTTCCTGTCTTACAAGTGTTCGATGTGGCCACCGCCAGCAGCACGAGTAAGTTCAATGCAATAAGAGAATCCATCCCAGATGCATTTCAGCCTATCATGGCCCTTTAAATTGATCGCTGTTGTAAGTCAATGAGGTTAGTGGGTAGCGGTGGAAAATAAACCCTATCTTTTACATATCCCTACAAGAAAAAATTACACATGGTGAGGTCTGGGAGATCTTTCAGACCAGGCACATAGAGCAAGGCCCCTTTCCAAGCCCCTCTCCAACCAATCCATCACTGGAGCACAGCTATTCAAATGATAGATAACTCCTCTTTCAAATGGTCACTGACTCATTCCATGATGATACTTCAGAACTGAAGCAATACGTCATAAAATTAGTTCATTCTTTTTTATTCAAATTAAAACTTTAGATAACTCCTCTTTCAAAAGGTCACCGACTCATTCCACAAGAATGCTTGAGAACGGAAACAATGATTCATAAAAATCAATTAGTTCTTTTCAAATCACCTTGTATATTCTTTTGGTTTTTATGTATGCGCTTGTGGACATATCGGTACAAGCATGCATTCAAGCCTGTTAGTTTTTATGTGTAAGTGAGCATGCTGTGTTCAAATTTGAGTTAGTTCCTTCTTAGATGAAGTGACTTCTGTGCCATTTCTTTCTGACAGAAATGTGTTCTGTCATTGAGCTTTGCTGGTCTGCTTGGCTGACGTGTTCTGATTTCCTCAGATTTATTTATGGTCCCTGCATTTATCTCAATTTGCAAACCTTCCACTCTTTGGTTCAGTTGCTGAATGTATTGCTCAATGTGACAACCTGCAGTGATGCATATTTGCGATATATGCAGAATAATTGTGTGTGGCGATTTGCTGAAGCATATTATTATTATTATCATTATTTTTTTTGTCTATAATGTAAGTTGTAGTCAAACACAATATCCATTTGTATGGAATGAAAGGAATGTAATTAAAATTTTCACTTTTATAACACTTTTTGTGGTTTTCTGGGCCCAGTTTGTATACTGTGCTGCATTGTTTAATTAGTTTTGTGTTTGTTTGTTTTTAGAAGGGGAGGGGGAGCATTTCTTAAAGCAAGGCCTTTTTTAATTTAGGTAGTTCCTGTCTTTCTTTGTCATCGTTAAATACTTCTTCTATTATCTTAAAGCAAGACTGTCAATGTTCACACCTCCATCAACAAAATTTACATCCCTTAGGAGATAGGCTGCTTTGATCCTGCCTGCTAAGGCCAATCCAGGTTGTGGATACCAGCAGAAAAAATGAAGATATTCAATAGAATAATTGCATCCACATAGTATAATGTCAATATCATGCAACATGTGTATTTTGCCGTAAACCGATAAAACACCTTTTTTTTATTCACAGCAGTTTCTAGAAAAAGAGGATTTTTTGTCAGCGTAACCATACAGTGCTTCTGAAATTTGAATTCTAAATTATTAAAAAATTAGTACAGAGGAGTCCACTTAAAACGAGTCCTGAAACAATGAGAAGTCTGTTATAAAGACACTATTCTAAAACCTCGTTTTTTCTCCTTCTTTATCTTTGTAAATAAAATACTGCTATTGCGCAACCAGACCGTCACGCGAGTCGGTTTTAACGGAATATTGCTGCTGCTGTGCAAAGCTCACAGACCAATTAAACATATTATAAAACCTTGCCAGTTGAGAAAGTTGTTGGTGATCCAGCGAAACAAAGAATGGGAGAGCCCACGCGAAACAACATTGAAGGCCGGAGAGAATGAGTGGAGAGGGTGTGGCATGCGCAGACAAGCAGAACGCATCGCGTGATAGGCCAGCCCAGTCTAGTTTATCTTGGCATACCGTGCCTCTCACTTCTCTTGTGCGGGATGGAGAGGTCACAATGCTGTGATAGATGGAGTGAATGTGTGAGGTGTGCAAGCACACGCAACGCACCACAGGGTGTGGTGGGGTGGTGGACAACACAGCGGGCGAGTTAGCCTTGAGCCAGAGCCCCTTCTGTCTGATCGCCAACGCCGAGCTGTCAATATTGCTAGTGCTAGAGAAAGAAACGTAATTCGATTTTTTATCAAGTAAGACCTAGAGATCATGTTTTGAACAAATCATCATCAGGGGAAATACAAAAAGGAATAAACAGAACGCCAAACTCATAGATTAGGCCTACTTTACTATTTCCCTTGAATTTATTACTGGATCCCTTGTAACAAGAATCCTGCTGTAACGGACATTTCACTCCGGTCCCCTCCCTCTTGTTATAACAGGATTCCACAGTAGCAGTTTCACTTAGATTTTTTTCACACAAGTCGGGTAACTGATCAGGCTTTTGATTTAACAAATTTTGTCAGCTTCTGAGTGATCTTTTATTACCGTACAAAGAATAATCAAAATAAGACAAGTGCAAATATAAAAGTAGAACTGTATGGGTTAAAGCAAGATAAATATGTTAAATACTTCATTCGGCTCAATCTGATATCAGGCATTGGTATAATGATAATAATAAGCACCTTGAGATCCAATTTCAAGACATAGGATTAAGGAAATTGAGATCACTCATGTTAGACATATAAAGTCACAAAACAGCATTATAAAAGGGAATGTAAAACAGGGTTAACAGGCAGGAAACTCTGATTAAAATGATTGTAAAGACAGCCCTTTTAAATGCAAGATATAGAGACAAATATTTTAATAGTATCACAATCATTATCATTGTCACCATCATTATTAGCATCACATTGAGCGTTATTATGTCACAATCAATTGCTCTTGTTTTATACAAGTCAAATTGGTTTCACTTCCGGGGGAGAATCATGAAAACTAATACTGCAAAACCAACAAATGTAAACTTATATAAAATACTATTTTATTCAGGCCTGAAGTTTACGGTGAGGTAGAAGGTAGAATATTAGCCGATTTGTTGTGACTGGAATTGTAAAACCAAAAGTACCATTCAAGAAAAGTAGAAAGAGCGGAACACCATTATAATAACACCTATTAATCATGTACGTAAATGACAATAATTAAGACTAGTTCCGAATTCAGACAACATGAAACAGTAGTAAGGCACATTACTTCTCAGCAGCCCTATTGTCACCAAAACAAAACACAGAGTCTAAACACACGATGATTTTCACACACATGTATATATATATATATATATGAAGGTTGTCAACTCTTTAGCAATAAAATTGTATAAAAAAACACGACCCCTGCCGAACACAGAACAAAATGTTCAGAATCATTTGAAATGCATATGTACGTTACTGTACGCATTAATCAACATCAATTAAATCTAATCAACAACAATAACAGATTTTACAACAACAAGCAATAACATTCTGTGTACATCACATTGTTGTAAGTAGGAAAATTAATATATGAAACTGACAGGCGACTTAGTAAATATTATAAAAAATTTTAATGCACTTATCAATTTATAGTTTTTCAAATATAAAAATCAACATTTTTCTCGTCCAAAACCTTCACTAGAATCCATGAATCTTTCACAGTTCTCTTGTTACTACTACAGTGTAGAGAAAAATATATATATATAAAAACACACTATCCACCATTATGTCCTCTCTCTCTCTCTCCCCCCCTCTCTCTCTCTCTCTCTGTAGTATCGAAAAAGGTGTGCTGAAAAACCAACACCTCAGGTCAAACTTGAGTTTGCCTCATCAGCAGTTTCCTGACAATGGGTTGTTTCTCCATCATCTGCCTCACTTGATCCACTGTACTCTTTGAGAGTGCCAGTAAGATGGCCTTTGGAACAACCTTGAGAAAAGACATGTTAAAAAGTCAAAATGTGAACTTGACATTTATAAGCTTCTGAACATGATACTAAAGAGCAGAGTCAGGAGAGACTGAACTCTGAATATGAGACTGACAGTGGTATGCATTTAACAAGCTGCAATGCTATACATCTTCTGTGAACAGAGATCTTAGACAGTAAATTCAAAAGAATTTGAAGGCAAAAGGGGTCAAAGAGAAGTCTGCAATCGTTCCATCCAAGGGGATACATACATGAATAATTAGTCACTGTTACATGAGAAATGAGACTGCGTGGTAGGAGTAGGAACGTTATAGCCTTGGTAAGGTTGCTTTTCCTTGATCCTAAGACTCTGAGTCCCACAGTGCAAAAACAAAAGCAAGAGAGCAGATAGCTGATCAATCATGTTCATTTTATGTAAATAAGATGTACAATTTGAATTAGACTTCAACTTTCTACAACAAGCCATCTACTGGATTAACAACTTTATAAAATTCTTTACCTTTTCAACACCAAAAGCTGCCTTGATGTGGTCCTCTATAGAGGCTGACCTCTGAGCTTCACTGGGACTGTCTGAGTTGTAGATGGATTTCAACAGGCACAAATGGCACTCGTCATCACTAGCACCAGAATATTTCTGTAATAAGAGGTTGAGCTCGCTATTATATATATATATGTATTACTTTTTGTTTGCTTGATAAAACAGAAGCACATCAACGCAAAAACAGTCATTTAGTGCCTTGAAAAAGCAAGACAGACAAATAAAAACAACAGAGGGAACGGAAAAAAAAGAAAGACCTATTAGTGGCACCCTCCAACCATCCATACAAACAATCAATGTTTAGTTTTAGTCATAAGGTCATATGAGCGCCAGAAGATTTGAGGTGTTACTAGAGAGTAACAAACATAAAAAAGAAGAAGGGGAGATAAGGACGATGGATGTGTGATAGGAAAGAAGAAGCAAACCACACCAGAGCACCCGCCAACCACCCACACAATCAATGTAAAACTTTTTAAAAATTGCATATTGCTATCATAGCTCAGTACAAGGAAAGAGATTCCCTATACTCCCCAGTGGGTTGACTGGTAAAAAATAGACCCTCTGTGCACCAACAAGAAGTACAACACTTGTGGTAGTAGAATAACAAACACACAGATGTATTTCTCATGACAGATGTACATTATGTGTGATAACAATTTAGGAGTGTCACCTTAGTCTTCCTTCATTCCCTTTCATAAAAAAAATTATTGTATCCACAGAGCTTCAAACGCTACCTTTAAATGACCTGTTTGTGCCTAGTAATGTTAAACTCAGACAAAAAGGAAGGAGAAGCGGCAGGCAGAGAAAGAAGAGAGAAAGAAAAGAGTCTGAGAACAAATAGAGGATAGGAGAAAAGGTTACCTTGTCATTCATGATGTCCACAGAGGTTGAAAGACAAACAGAACAAACGAGGGGGAGAAATGACTACTTTTATGCAGTTGTACAGAATAAAGAATAAGCCATTCTTGCTGTTAACACAAATTAAATGCTTGATAATGAAATTTAATTTTGTCCATCGAAAACATTTACAAGGTTTGCGAAAATGTTTGCTGAATATGGTTGCACAATTCTTCAACAAAGACACACTATGAGAGGTGTTTGACCAACCACTCATGTGCCAAAAGAGGGTAAATTGGAATTCACTTTATACATTTTTGTCCCATTTCATTCATGAAACAACTTTTGATTTCAGTAGGCTTGAACAAGAAAAGTAAACCATATAAAATCACTGTAGAATTAAGGTTGACAAGCTCACTTTTTTGCTTTCGATTTTTGGTAGCCGAATGGTGTTTTGTTTCTTCATTGCCAAAGCAGTTTTATTCCAGTTATGCAAACATCAGAGACAAGGTAAGACTGACCTGAATGATGCCAAGAGCCCGGTGGAAAAGTTTGTTGTTGCTGACCTTCACATCAATCATCATGTTGTTGAGCACTTTCCCCTTGAGGATGTGAGCACCCGTAGACACACCATTCAGCACCCACTTAACGGCTATCTCCTGCAGTAGCCGAATCATGGTGACTTTCGCCAGGTCAGAGGCCACAGTGTCCAAAGTTGAAAAGTCATGTTTGAGGTCAACAACGACTGCAAAGTTTTCAAGGGGTTCCTGTACACACAAAGTCTGGGGAGAAAATCGAAAAAGGAAAATAAATATTTTGGAACATAACGGGAAACAACCCAGAATAGCTACAAATGGTAGGCTACTTTCCCCTTAAGGATGTGAGCACCCATAGACACACCGTTCACTTTATGAAGAAAACAATTTTTTGAGTCCCCCCCCCCTTTTTTTTTCTCAAACATGAATCTAGTCTCATCATATTAAGGATGAGAGATCAACCATTCTGAAATTCACAATGTGGGAGATGTAACTTAAAGGTTAGATGCATGCACTTAAACTCTGGCAGGTTTGTAGTTTGCACTGTGTTTTATGAGTTCTTTTAAGTGATAGCAGCAGGAAGATTGGCTAAAACAGCACCTGGACATGGATTGTTGGTGCCTCTATAAATAAATTATTGATGGTCAGCAGCAGGAAGATACCTGTCACTGTCACTTAAGACAGAAACAATTAGATCTAATACAGGATTCATGAAACAATAGGTTACTTTTGAAACCTGAGACAGAGCAAATACTACTCAGCTTTTTGTTCAAGGACTCTTCAGATGAGGTTTGTAAAAAAAATAAGTTATCAAATATAGCAATTATATCATGTAAGAACCCATCTCTTTTACCAAAAGATAGTTTCCAAAAGGCTGCACTTTTACCTCATTTGGGGTTATCAGAGTCGAACATTTTTTTTTATCATGGTACATTTTCACATTTAACAATTTGCAGTCTTGTAAAGAAGGTGACGTACATATCTATTTGATGGCCTAATATCTTAGATGACAAAATTTGTCTTGATAGAGAACTAAAATACAAAATGATATCAAATTGTAAAAAAAAATAAAAATAAATAAATGTCTAAACTGACCGAATTGGGTTGAAAACACATGCAGACCATTTTACACTGGGAAGAGGCCAGGGACGCTAAATCCACCTTGTTGATCATCTCTTGGGAAATACAAATTGAAAACAAATATTCAATTGATAACGCTGAAATGACACATTTAGCTCTCTTTTTACTTACTTTAGTCTATAACACAGAGTGATTAATCACCTGTGAACGAGATACTAGCAGATATAGGCAAAAGGATCCTACCTCTACTAGAAAAATGAAAAAGAAACTAAGTTACTTTGATCTTTCTCACAAGATAAAATTGTAATATATCCCTCTAGTTTCAAACTCATAGGAAAACTTATTAGAAGGTTTATGTCTGTTGATATAATACTACACGATTATGTTTTCATCAATAAAGCAAAATATGAAGCCACCAGACACATGAGTATGCGACAAAATAACCTACAGTAAAGTCTGCTTAAACTGCAATCTGCACAATTGCTGGATTTTCTTCAGTGTAGATGGGTTTAGAGACGTTGCTCAAACAGAAGAAAAAAACAAAAATGGGGATTTCATATTCTTTAGGTGTACCGCTGTTTTTGGAGTTACCATGTACCATACCATATAGTGGACTCCACTGTATATCATTGTCTTCAAAATCTTACTTTAGAGATTCCTTTGAGACAGAAAAGAAAACGCAGCTAGTTAAAAGGCTGAAATGACATAAAAGCTTACTGTTGTAGATATCTAGCACCCTCTTCTAAAAAAATGGGACTCATAATTAGTAAGGGTGAGCAGTTACATATCTGGAAACAAACACAAGAGCAGAGGTACTCTGAATCACAAAAAGACGATAAAGACACTCACCTTTTCCAATTAGAACAATTAAGTCATTGTGTCCAATCAGAGGAAGAATATCCTTCTCAAAGTCCTTGAGAGAGATCCTGTAGTATGGTCCCTGTTAAAAAATATGACACAAAACAAAACTAATGAACCAGTTGACTTCATCTATTCTCTGCCAAATGGTACAATTTCCCATAAGTGGAATAAACTCCAAAATACATTCTCTGAATATTGTTTATAACAATATTTTGAAAGTATTACACTTGCAGGTTTTCACTGTTTATTTCTCATTTAATACAAAGTACTAAAGTCCCTCTGAATAATTTTCTCTGACAAAGAAGGTATCAAAGAAATGCAAAAACGTCTGGGATATTGTGAGATGTAACCAAAGCATATATATTAGAAATTGTCCAAAACAGCCACTCATTGTCCTGGAGAAAAGTAGCTTTCTTAGACAGGTGAATATCTTGGATGCTGTTATAATTATCATACAGAAAAAAACACAAGGGAGAAAATGGTTGTGATTGTCTTGGATGGATGACTGTTGGGGCAGGTTCATAGGTATATCGTAATTGCCGTGCGCTATCCACGTAGGGAACACAATTTGAAAACTCCTGTCTTAAGGCATTCGACGTACGCACAATCTTAAAAATCATCTTTCATATTTTACTTTGCATCAATAATTCATGACAACTTAAACAAAAATTGTAAAAATCAAGAGGCTAAAACACGTATTAGACTAATAAAAAAGTTTTTTCACATTTTCTCAAAAGTATCTGAATGCTTCATTCGTGGATTGTGAAATACGCTAACGATATGTATGTTGCATACTGACCTCATTAGAGATGTCTCCATCATTGTTACAAAGTACTGAGAAACCACCCTCGACGAAACCTCGAATGTCATCCACAGCTGATGGATAAAAGCATTAATAACAAGAGATGACACAACTGAAACATTGGCTTCAACTACTTAGGCCAAATGCTTTTTGCAGTCTGAGCACACAATGTTAGAGAAGCTCACTCTTTAAGCATGAGATAAGAACTAGGCATTTTATTTGTTCTTTCTCCTTCATCCTACTTGAACTTCATGACAACGTTTCATCAAAAAGTATTTGTTTTGTTTTAGTAGAAGTTTTACGGCGCTCGCAACTGCATAAGGTCATATGAGCACCAGAAGATTAGAGGTGTTACAAGAGAGTAACAAACATAAAAAAGAAGTAGGGGAGATAAGGACGATAGATGTTGGATAGGAAAGAACAAGCAAACCACACCAGAGTCCCCGCCAACCACCTACAAAAAGTATTTATGACAATACCAAATTTTAATACTACTGTGACATTTAAATCATATGGCAATATTATAAGCGTAACCTCCATATTAGCTATGTGAGTGAGCTCGGGAGATATGAATCGATAATCCGCTTTTTCTTCCGTGTGAGGCTCAACTCCCCTTACTGGTGAGGTATCATCATTACACCTAAACCTACATTGCACATGGGTGATGTCATTTATCGTCCTCAACTATTCCCTTCTGTCCAGTTCATTTTTATGCTGTTCTGTCAATCGATTGTTCTATCTCAAGAAAAATAGACACCCCCCCCCCCCACATCTCCCTACCCCCCAAAGCCCTTTAGAAAGAAGATAACCCTGAAACAGCCTATTTAAAATCTAACACTGCAAGTTGTTATTTTTTTTTCTACAAAATTTCTTTTAAACCTTTGATAAAAACAGGCATTGGGCTCAAAAGTGTAGGGAAGCAATTTAGAAAAAAAGAGACTCACAGGCCCCGTAAGTGGGCACGCACTCTGAGGCATCAATCATCCCCATCAAGCCAAATCCATCACAGCCCAGGTAGTAGATGTGACCCCCTGAGCGCAAGCTGAAAGGTTGTGGTAATTGATTTTAAAAGAAAATAGAATTGAAAACTGCCACAGACTGTCAAGAAGAAGTTGGTTTGCATTCTGTGGTCAAAACAATCAACCAGAAGCGTGGTGTTGTTTGTATCAAAGTGATTTTTCTCTTTTTACTATAAATCACCGACATGAAAAGTTTTAAAAACTAAAAAGTGTACAAAAAATTTCAGGTTTTATTTGGACCCCCATATTTTATCATAACTCTTTAAGTAAATATTTACAATCTTCATGAGTGAGTAACACACTTGGAAAACTACTTTTTTAAGCTGCTCAAAGAATGAACTTTACAATGTATTCTTACTCAAATATAACTTCAATATGCTCTAATAGAAAACTGGTGGTGGTACGAGTACAAAGAAAGATATCACTGAACGTCCAAGAGACTATTGAGACTAAAGATGAAAGGCTATCAAAGGGAGTTATTATTAACCTCTTCACTGCTGAGTAGACGTATGTTCTGTCTTGCATTCTCCACTCTTGTATTGTTTAATCTGGCTGACAAAAGAAGTTTTAGTTGGTAAAGTTACAGCTTGTGATTTTGCTTATTCTGAAACAATTCTCTGTGTTTAAATACTACTTGAATTAACATTTTATCTTGTCAGTACTGATGTTGATGGACATTTTTCAGCAGTGAAGGGGTTAAGTTACATGAGCTTTGGCGTAGAGGGAATACAAGACTAAGACACTCCAGTTGACAGAAACACACCTCTCTCCAGCTAGTTGTATGACAGAGGCCATTGATTCTGTCTGTTTGTACACACTGGTGCACACATCCTCATACATCTTGAAGAGAAGAGAGATTCTGCAAAAAGTACAAGATGCAGAAAGAACTACATACACATGTACATGTAAACTGACTCCTTCAATAACGACAGAGACTCAAGATTGTAGAACGAGCAAAAGCAATTAATTATTTTAACAATACAAAATATAAAAGAAATTAAAGCAAACCTTAAAGGTTATTATCTTATCTCTTCATCCTCTTATATCAATCCCCATTTCCCCTTCTCCCTCTCTGCGAAGGGAAAAAAAGACAACATGAACACGTACAAACATGCATATTTGAAAAATGTATACTGTAAAGTTCAGGCTATTGAGCGCACCTGTATAGAAACCACGCCCACAAAATTTTCTAAAAGTTTTAGTTTTTCTCACAAATAAGCCGCACTGGTTTATAAACTGCAGTAGATTACACAACACAGATGTGTAAATCACATTATTTATTCAACATTATCATCATTTTGTTCGCTGAAATCTTCTTCAGTCTGTCCCCGTGGTTTTATGCACTCTGCACAATTTAACAAAATTTGATCATTTTTTGCATAATTTCTGATTATTTTCCTTTATCATTCTTTGTTAAAATTAACAGAATCACATAATTTCATATTTTTGGGCTCAGTTTGCATAATTTTTAAATTTTTTTGCATAAATCTGCGGGGACAGTTCAGTGTCGAAGTTGAACAGATTGAGTAGTGCTTCCTATGCCATTTTCGGTACAATGAGAGCAGTTAGCACAGTAACAATGTGAACAGTTAACACTCTGGAGCCAACATTTTAACATTGAGTGTGGACATGAAAAGTTAACATGGAGCTGAGAAAAGACCAGGAAGGGACTCTTTTGCAGTTGGGAAAATCCACAAATAAGCCACATCACCGCATAAATCACAGGAATTTTTAGTTTTAGTAAGAGTTTTACGGCACTTATAACACAATAAGGTCATATATTATAAGTGCCAAAGATTAGAGGTGTTACAAGAGAGTAACAAACACAAAAAAGAAGGAGAAGAGATCAGGATGATAGCTGTTGGATAGGAAAGAAGGAACAAACCACACCAGAGCACTCGCCAATCACCCACTCAACGGGATTTAAAGGTAAAGGAAAATGTTGCGACTTATAGACTAAACTAGTATTACTTATCTTTTTTACTTCTTTGCACTGATTATTCACTAAAACATATAAACCAGTTTACGAGAAAAAACAGCATCTGGCTGCATCACGAAAGCATAAAGCAATAGGCTGAGTCCACACAGTTGAGGTAAAGAGAAGCACATCCGCATCATAACTGTTATGTAGTGCAGAGAAAAAGTAGACAAACAGACAGAAACTGCAAAGAGAAAGGAAAAGAGAAAGTTTCAGTTTTAGTAAGAGTTTTACGGCACTTGCAACACGATAAGGTCAAATAAATGCCGAAGATTAGAGGTGTTACAAGAAGAGAGGGACAAACACAAAAAAGAAGGTGGAGAGATCAGGACGATAGCTGTTGGATAGGAAAGAAGGAGCAACCACACCAGAGCACTCGCCAACCACCTACTCAACAGGATTTAAAGGTAAGGGAAAATGTTGCGGCTTATAGACCAAACTAGTATTGCTCATCTTTTTCTTCTTCACTGCACTGATTATTCTCCAGAAAACAGCATCTGGCTGCATCAAGAAAGCACAAAGCAATAGGCTGTGTCCACACAGTTGAGGTAAAGAGAAGCACATCCGCATCATAGCTGTTATGTAGTGCAGGGGAAAAGTAGACTACAGTAGACAGACAGAAACTGCAAAGGGAAAGGAAAAGAAAAAGATCTACAAGTAGTGTCCTCCACCTACCTGCACATTCATACAGTAGAATCTACACCATAAAAAACAAACACTTCCCCATCCAATATCAAAGTTAGTTTTATTAGAGGTTTTATGGTGCTCGCAACTGCATAAGGTCATATGGGCGCCAGAAGATTAGAGGTGGTACAAGAGAGTAACAAACATAAAATAGAAGAAGGGGAGATAAGAACGATAGATGTTTGATAGGAAAGAAGAGGCAAACCAAACCAGAGCACCCGCCAACCACCCACAATATCAAAGAAAACAAAACAGAAAACAACAAAAAGTCCCAATAAATACAACAATAACAACATCAATATCGAGAACAACAACAACCATGGGACTATGGGCAGCTCACGTTGCTCTGGAGTAGTCTTCCAGGGCAGCAATGGACAAAGTCTCCAGCAGGATTCTGGTGGTGCTGCCAGACTTCATCCTGGAGGAGCCTGTGATAGGCTCGGGCTGGGGTCAATAGAAATAATTTGGTAGATAGGTTGCTGGGCAGGGGGTCGTGACAAGGGAGTGGGGACAGACAGGACAGAGGGATAGGGGTATGAAGAGGAAGGGGTTGGGGTGGGGG